GGTGATGAGGAATTGAAAAATTGTTGTCTGAAGCTTGAAACTACTTTAAGAAATGGTGAGTCTTCTGATGTTGATGCAAGTGATTTGTTTTCAGAGTTACAGGTGCTGCAATATCTTTTACCATCAGCAGTAAACACAACACTTGAAATTGTAGAGTTTGTTAAAGATATGGATTGTTTTCCAAATGTTTTGATTGCCTATAGAATACTATTGACTGTACCTGTGACTGTAGCATCTGCAGAAAGAAGCTTTTCTAAATTAAAATTATTGAAATCTTACTTGAGGTCTACCATGTCACAAGAAAGGCTAAATGGGCTAGCAATCTTATCCATTGAAAAGGAGATGTTAGAAAAGCTTGAATTTGAAAGCATCATTGAGGATTTTGCTTCTCAAAATGCAAGAAGAAAATCATTTACATAATACCTTTTCAGTTGTGATTTTGTTGTTTTTCACCTTATCTTGCAGGTGGTGATGTTGATATTTTGCTGGTTGCTGAGGATGCAAAGAGATTCAAGTAGGCTGCTGCACTTTGCTTTGGCTATTGAGAATGTAAAGACATTTTTGTTTTGCTGGTTGCTAAGGATGCAAAAGGGTTTCATATAGATTGATGTTATTTTGCTTAGGCTATTCAGCAGCATGTAGAGTTTTTTTCTTTTGGCTAGTTGCTTGTTGCTGGATGAAAAAGAACTTATTGAATTGTTATAAGTATTTATTTTGTTTATATATTATAACTTTTTATTCTAAATTTTAATATATTGAAGTTTGAATCGATACAATTTATTTGGCTTGAATGTTAAATTTTTAGTTAATTTGAACAGGTTAGATCTTGGTTGAAAAATAAGAGTGAGTTCATCACTAAGTTTAAGTATATATAGGGGCCTAATTTTTACTTTTGCCCTGGGCCCTAAAAAATTCAGGACCGGCACTGCTAGGTGTTCTACTCTGCGTACTTTTGAGGACGAAACTGCACAAGGTTAAGCTAGCTGGACTTGAGGTAGGGTTTCCTGATTTCCTGATGATTGGGCTATGTCACTTTTAATCTTGGTGATTATATATATAGTACTATAAATATTATTGTTGTGTTGCTCGGTGAATACTATTTGATGTTATGTGAATATTATTGTTGATGTTTCTCCGTGGATATTATTTGACGTTGAGTGAATGTTATTATGCATGTGATTAAGCCTGATATATTATTGTTATTATCTGTGGCATTATTCTGCAGAGATAAATGATGTTTGTGCTGCATTACATATGCATCATAAAGACAGTGGTGTTTGGAGTGTGTGTGTGTATCGTTTGAGATATATCTAAAGGGTGGGAGAAGGCTTTAGATATATCTGAATAAAATGTGGAATATATTCAGGTGATGGGAGCAGAGCTTGAATATATTAAGGTGACGGGAGCAGGGCCTCTAATGATAAGTGAAAGTTGAGAAATTCGTAAACAAAAGAAAAATGGGTTAAGGGACGAATGGGCGCTAGTTCATATTTTAGGGTATTCGGAGCCACAGTGGTAAAACGCATGGTATGGAACATGCAGGCTTGTTGCCCTAGGATATGAATTAGTGGGATTAGAAGGGAGTGAGTTCATGACATCACCGCATATGCAAATTTATTTATCTGTTATGATTGCATAATTTGTATATCTTGTGTTGCTTGATGCATGACACTTTGATTAACTGTGATAACTGACTTTGAGGGGTTTGACGGTACTCTACTGAGCATTAGAATGCTCATACCCTAATAGATTGTGCAGGATTCAAAGGATTCAAGACGAAGTTTGAGGAAGCGGGTTTCAACTAAGCTGCAAGGATTTTGTTGTTGATTTGTGTAATTAATCTTTGTAAGTAGTCAACCGTTTGTTCAAGATCTTAGTGTGTAGTTAATTACAAGCTACTGGGACTCTGATTTTGTGATGTTAAGTAAATTTTGTAGTAATTGTGGCTCTTTTTCTCATCATATCATGGTTGTAGGATTTTACTCTTATGACCATGGTATGACTCACACCATGATTCGGGAATATTCTTTATTTTCGAATCGGGTCGTGACACTCACCAACCCTCTCTTGAAGTGCTTCTACTCCTAGTCAATTTTCAAACTTTAGTTATTCATTTACTTATTAATCGAAGGGCTTTCCACAAATAGGCCCATCCTAATATGATAAATTATACAAAAATCTTTATAAAGCCTATTTGGAGACAAAAACTCAAAACTAGCCACTTGTCATTTTCTAATTGGTTCTTATAAAAATTACACTAAGAATCAATTAGAAAATAATAAGTAGCTAGTTTTGAGTTTTTCTCTATCCAAATAGGCTATATATGGGTTTTTGAATAAATAAAAAGCTTATTTACTGTTTCACCTCCTGGAACTTGAGCTCGCTCTCACTTAACCACCTGGAACTCAAATTTCCTCACTTTACCCCATGAATCTCTAAAAATTGTTGAAATTTTCTCACTTTACCACTTCTGTCCATTTCTGTCCATAAAACCATTAAGTGTGTTGAGGTGGCATGGGCATTGTAGTAATTTTAGCCCCTCTATATTCTCTCTCTCTCTCTCTCTCATCCCCTCCCTAGACCTAACCCACAGTGCACCTCCATTGCAACCCACCCCTCTTCTCCCTCTGCTTCTCTATTCTCTCTCTCTGCCTCTCTCTCCTCGCCCCTCCCCAACCCTTATCGCACCTCACCTCTCCCATCTTATTTCTTCTCTGTGCCTCTTTCTCTCACTCTCACTCTCTCTGCCGAGAGAGGAGATGAGGAGTGGCTATCGAGAATAATTTTTTTATATTTTATTTATAATTTTGAGTGGTCGTGGTTTGGGTGTGTTGAGTAATTTCATGGAGGGTTAGGTAAGGGGTGGGGGTTAGGTCTGGGGAGGGGAGAGGAGAGGAGAGAAGAGAGAGGCAGTGAGAGTGAGAAAGATAGCGAGAGAGTCATAGGGAGGGAATGGGTGGGGTGCGATGAAGGTGCGCTGGGGGTTGGTTTGGGATGGGGATAGGAGAGAGAGAGAGAGAGAGAGAGAGAGAGAAGATAAAAGATAGAAGAGAGAAAAGGGGGAGGGGTGGGGGTGAGGTGCGATGGGGGTTGGGTTGGGGAGGGGCGAGAGAGATAGAAATGTCATTTTAACAGGAAAATGAGATGGCGTTGAGGGGATAGGGTAACATTTGAGACGAAGTGGGAGAATGGGGATAAAGTGAGGAAATTTGAGTTCTGGGTGGTTAAGTGAGAGCGAGCTCAAGTCCTAAGGGGTGAAATAGTAAATAAGCCTAAATAAAAATGGTGATTATAAGGCCCAATATATGCATGTTGGCTCGGTCAACTCGCTAAAGTCACATTGATTGTTAGAGTTGATAGCATATTCTCACCTCAGCTATTAGAGCACTTCCACCCATATAGGCAAGGGCTGTCACGATTCATGTGAATAGTGGTAGCCCTTGCAATTTTGTTTCCACCCCTATGGGCAAGGGTAAGGGCAATTACTATTCACTTTAATTTATTTTCTATTTTTTTATGCTTAAACAATTAATTTTGATAAGATTTTCGATTGCCATGTGTCACTATTTATTACAAAATTCTCCTCTCAAATTTCAGATTAAACTTTCGGATTAAATTTTCAGATAAGATTTTCGGTTGTCCCGTGTCCATATTTATTATAACATTAAGATCTCAAATTTCAAATAAAATTTTCGGATAAGATTCTTAGTTGCCACATGTCGATATTTATTATAAATTTCTAGTCTCAGATTTCAGATAAGATTTTCACCCTCTAAAATTACGCCGCGTGTCATCTCTATCTTCTAAATCACTCTATAAAACTACAACCTCAACTCAGACCTTTCACACCATATTCTCTCTATCCTTTCATTTCTCCATGAATTTTTCTCTACATATGAGAGGACTTCATCTCGTTGCTCGTGATTGGACAATGACCAACTTTGACCCAACACTCACATAACAAAATGTCTTCCACGGTTGCCCACGAGCCTCTGGCTTTGATGGAAAATATCATTTGTATTTTTACACAAATGGAATTTAGTAATAGAAAATTTGGTGTGGAAAGTGAAAAATATTGGAAGGAGAAGAATTTGTATGAAGATTTGGTGTGAAAAGTGAATAATATTGGTAGGTATTTATAGAAAAATTTCCATAATTTTTTGATATTTTTTTACAAATTTGTTCGATATTTTTTTTCAATTTTTTTGGGTAGCCGTTGGATTGGAGCCTCCAGGAGAAGCCATATGGCTTGTAGCCGTTGGTTTATGGCAACGCTGGCGTCAGTGTAAGATTTTTAATTTTTTTTACCATTGACACCTAAATTATACTCGCTAATAGTAAAAAAAAATTAAATATCTTGCCCTAACGCCAACGTTGCATCAACGATGACGTTAGCTGCCCGAAAGCAATAAGACGGGCCAGATCTCCTCGTAGGCTTGCCCGGGCTCGTGAGTCCCACGCCTTGCCTGAGTTGGGTCTTCCGTGCTGGAGCTTCCTTCCGGGCCTAGGGCCCCTTCCTAACTAGGCCAAAACCTTGCGGTCGAAGTGCTCTTAGAGCATTTCCACCGACCAGCCTTGGCCTAGACAAGAGGGGGCCCAAGCCCCAGTTCGATGTTCCAGCGGGCTTCAGCAACCCATGCAGCTGGTGGGCTCCACAAGCCTGAGCAAGCCCAAAGGCAAGAATAGCTTGGGCTGTTGCCTGGGTTTGTTGACGTCAGAATCGAAATTTTTTTATAAAAAATACTAAAAATTTCAGAATTTTTTTTAAATAAATACTTAGTCGTATTCTTCACTTCTCACACCAAAACTCTATACAAATTCCTCTCCTCATATCTCATGTGAATAATAGTTGCCCTTGAATTGCTATGACAACAAGTTAAAACACCACAAGCCTTTCCCAAGAGCTGCCACTATTCACATAAATAGTAACAACCTTTGTTTTGCCTTTGCCATGGCAAATGGGTGTAAGTGCTCTTGAGAGTATGGATTCCCCGGCCATTGCCTTTATGAAAAATGCTCACACACAGACTTCCCACACGCCCATTGCCTCTATTTCTTTATATTTTCCCGAAACGTCTCTCATCTTCTCATCATCTTCTTCTATTTCTCTTTCTTTTTCTCTTGTCTTCAGATAGATCTGTTATCATATTTTTGACTTTTATTTTCTCTCTCTCTACTCTCTGTCTCTCTTGCTCGACTCTCTCTCACTACTCTATGCCTCTCTCACACACTCGGCTCTCTCTCTCTCTCTCTTAATGGCAGATTCATGGCAGATCTGGTTGATTTAGATGCTGAGCTAGTGTGTTCTCCTCCATGGCAGAGATTCTAGGTATTGATTTTAAGATTTTTTGTTTGGGTGTAAGTTGGGGATGAATGTGGGTGATGCTAGGTATTGTTACTATATTTTTTTCAATTTAATCTTTTAGGTCCGATTTGGAGCATCATTTGTAGGTATTCGATTCTTCTTTTAATCCAAGAAACCTTTAGTTAGGTCATGAATATGTGGATTAACTCTAGATTATTTTTGGTTCTGTAATTAAGCATCAACTATGATATATAATTCACTGAGCCTCTCTGGTATCCCAGATCTATTAAGATCTTTGCCTTGACAATTATGCCTTCTTTGCCTTTTCTTTTTCTGGCATAATACGTACATACCTATATATATATATGTATGCGTACTTGGGGTTGTTAATAAGCAGGGATTGATTGTTAATAAACACTGAGCTATAAAGTTCAAAGTAGGGCCCCTTGCTTGCTAACTAGCTGTGAAAGGAATGTATGCGTACTTGGGGTTGTTAATAAGCAGGGATTGATTGTTAATAAACACTGAGCTATAAAGTTCAAAGTAGGGCCCCTTGCTTGCTAACTAGCTGTGAAAGGAATGTATGCATAGAAATATCATATGCCCAAACTTAATCGAACACAATTATCAAATGGCTTAACCGATCCACCTCTGAGTTATCTATTTTCCATTGCTCTGCTTTAATGGATAAAATATTTACAGGGTTCAAGTCTAACCAAATGTTTACAGTTTGTTTGAGAGTTGGTTTAATTTCAGTTTGGATTATAATGAGCATAGTTATTATTTGTTCCTTATGTATTATTTTTGTGGTTTGTTTCAGGAACTTTTAGAAAATTTTAAGGACAAATTGGCATCTCAGAACCCATCATTCGAATGATGTTGTTTTGTAGGTTATCATACTCTTTAACTGCTTGAAAGTACACTATCCTTACCCACTTGTTAGTTGATAAAGGAATTATGAAGATTGATATATATGATGAAAGTGATGGAAGCACGCCAAGGCCAAAGGAAAATGGTTGTTCTCTTAAGCCAGTTTCACCTGACGAGTCTGGTGAAGGTTTGCCTTATGCTCCTGTGAATTGGCCTAATCCTGGTGATACTTGGCGCTGGAAGGTGGGAAAGAGAGTTTCTGGAGCTGGGCACTATCTGGATAGGTACCTCTATCTTCCAAAGAGCCTTCGCAACGCTGGTCTAACAACACGTAAGAAATATGGTTTTGCGAGCAAGCTTGCTGTTGAACGGTATATCCAAACAGCATTTCCTGGTGCAAACATCAATGAATTTTTTGCATCATTCTCCTGGAGGATCCCAGCACAAAAGTCGTCGTTGGCAAATGGTCAGCCGTAATCAATGTTAATTTTCTTTCCTTAAGTTTTGTGCCTTTTTGTCTTTAGTTTTATTCATTTAATTTAAGCATTTTATATAAATAAAACAGTCCCCTCCTTGTCTGTCAATGATCCATTGTTTGATACCTGTGTTTGCATTCTATTTTTTGCTGGTGATTTTTGAACTAGAGCCTTTTATCCAATGTTCTTCAAGAAGATGGGTAGCTAAGCTATTATTTTGTGAACTTATCTTGAAGGCCCATGTGTGTTACTGTTTCTTTCTGAACTTGTATTTGCTTGTAGTGAATGGCTGGAGTAATGGTGTCAATTTTGGAAAAACTAATGGGCTATTTAAAGGCTGTCAGATTCTAATCAACATTCCTATAGGTTAAAATTTTCATTTCATATCAATTATCCAAACTGGTGTGTATTTTTATCAACTTTCCTCCCCATATTTATAAGATCCTTGTGTTTTTACACATGATGAACATTGAGTGAAAAAATATGCACAAGAAAATTCAATATTTCATAACAAATTGATGTCCTTGATATTGGTTTTAAAGTTTTCTGAAAAAAGAAAATTCATGTTCAAGAAGACATCTCGTTTGGTTTTCATGTCTCAGCTTCTTGGATAATCAATAACATTACTTTCATGTTGCAACAGCTTGTTTGAAATGATATCATATATAGCTGCTGACGTGCATAAGTTTTGCCTTTGGAAATGGTTTTATCACATCTAGTTCTGTGCTTTCTTTTTGTGGGGTTTATACAGGTACTGCAAGGCTGAAGCATGTGCCATGTATTCCGCCTTCTGAGGAATCTGATTCGCAGTCTGACACTGTATGCTGTAAGGCCGGAAATAAGATGTGCAACAGTTTGTTGGAACAATCAGAAAACCCACCTTTGGCAGTCATGGAGTGTGATATTTGCTGCACTGAACCTAAGTTCTGTCGTGATTGCTGTTGTATTCTTTGTTGCAAGACTATAAATTCATCATATGGAGGCTATGATTACATTAGATGTGAAGCAATGATGGATGAGAGTTGTATATGTGGGCACGCTGCCCACATTGATTGTGCTCTGAGATGTTACATGGCTGGCACTGTGGGAGGAAGCATTGGGTTGGATTCTGAATACTATTGCAGACGCTGTGATGCAAGGACAGATCTGGTTTCACATGTCACGAGGATTTTACATACATGTGAATCGCTTGATTCTCGGGATGACATTGAGAAGATTTTAAATCTCGGTGTCTGCATTTTGCGTGGTTCACAAAAAACCAGTGCAAACGAGGTGCTGAAACGTATTGAAGTGGCCATTGCAAAGGTAAAAGTAATAGCTTTATAGTAGTTTATCCTTGTCCACACTTGAGTTCCCAAAGACCAGCAATATAACATTTTGCTATATTGATCAGCTCAAATGTGGGACTTGTCTTGAAGATATTTGGAAAGAGGAAGACAATATTTCAGCTATTTCTATGGGTAATTTTCCCTCTATAAAATCAAGTAATTATGTTATGATGAACAACTTACTAGTTTTTGGATGTGGCTTAAAAATATAATTAGTAAATTCATAGCGTGTGCACAAGGTTTTAAAAGTGCATAGTCATGCAAGAGTATTGAAAATACTCTCTCTCTCTCTCTCTCGTGGAAATTGAAGTGCTTTTCTTTCCCAATGATCCCTTTTCCACTAAATTGCAGTTGTAGACACAAATGTTTATCTCTCTCTCTCTCTCTCTCTCTCTCTCTCTCTCTCTGATGGACGGTTATTGTTTAAATACAGATGTCTCTCATCATGGAAATACTGCCCTGGAAGTTACAACATGCCAAGAGCCCATAGGTGTCAGAACAAGCTCGGAAGTAATGTCTACATCTTTTCATTATCGAACTGAGTCTCAAAAACTTGAGGTAGAGATTGATCAGGTTCTGCAGGCACTAAGAAAGTCACAGGAGTCTGAATTTAGAATGGCGGAGGATAGCCTTCATGCACAAAAGAACTATCTTTGTAATCTGTATCAGCAACTTGAGAAGGAGAAGTCTGATTTGGTACGGTGCACGTCACCTGACCCAGATGCTTTACTGAGTACCGTATTGAGCAGAGTGAAGCAGATTAAAGGGGAAGTAAAAAAGCTCAAGGATATGGAAGAAGTGGCCAATGGGTTTGGAAAGACTTCTAGAGCTATCCTGAAGGAACACTTCAGTTTAGAAATTGAGGAATGAAGCAAACCCTTACTGGATCATGATGGTTTATTTTCATCATTTGTTCATTAAATTTTGGTCTTGAACTGGCTTCTTCATGGTTTGAACTGAATAGCCATATAATTTTCTTGCGATTGTGCTGTCACAGTTGTGTGAGGTTCATATATGAGGACGCAGTTGTGTGAGGTTCATATATGAGGATCTGTATCAGAATGAGCCGGTCCTGGCAGAACAAAGGGATGAAGACCCCGTTGAAGAACCAGAAATCCTTAGTGGCTTATTAAACAAAGTGAATGAGATAAGATGTAAAGGTTGTGGCTCTGTCCTGAGTGATCGAGAGAGAATGACAGTGGATGCTTAAGGAACCCTCCATGCTGAGGTTTGTATCCTATCAGCTCTCAAAGAATCTGTATCTTCTTGCAGTGAACTGATCATTGTGTTTTTCGATGAAATGGCACATGAGAAGTCATTGCAAATGCTACTATGTTTAAAGCATCAGGCAACTGTGTTCTAGCACTCAGCTTCCCAATTTCCCTGATTGGCAACTGTGTTTTTCTTTTTATGTTTTTGTCAAGATGGTTTGCCTGCCCGGGAAGTTGGAAATTTTGGCCATTAGAAAACATTTTGGATCGGAACTGCTTCTTTTTGTTAGTTCGTCTTGTCTCTGGCTAGAGATTTGCGGAAATGCAAATGTAAACATTGACGTTTCCTGCACACGGTACATATATACAAAATGCAGGAATAAGTTCCTTCAGAATGAAATGGACTATCATTTTTGTTCTTTTAATAATTTTGTTGTGTTTATTTTTTTCGATATTTTGTTAATGATTAATCTATAAAACAAAGATTACAACAAAACTCATCAAGAAGGTTTTGATTGTTTAGGTAACCAAAATTCTTTAACCTGATCCGGGGGCACATTTTGGTCCGATGGTGAAATGAGGGGAGATAGAAAGAAAGTAATGATTACTACATGACCCAGTTAGTTTTTTATTTCTTCTTCAAGTTTCGAATAATATCTGTGATTTACAATAACTAGTAATTGTCTTAAAGAGGCATTTAGATTCTGTGCGGCTGTGAAGTTACAGCAATAACCTCTCGTGCTAGTAGCTTGATAAATTAATGAAGGAAATGATGAATGTTGAGACTCCATAGTAAATCTTTTTTTTTAGACTGATAGCATATCTGAATTTGGAGATGTGAAACGAGACAAGAATGTCACAATGCCACAACCTAGGCAACTTTTACAAGGAAACTAAAGCACAACCCATTTTTAATTCTCAAAGCAAGACATCTCCATAAAAGAATCAGTTGTCTACATTCAGAGAAAATTGCCAGCAAATCCAACCATATCATCCCAAATCCATCCTGGGGCATGCTGTGTCCAAAAAGAAAACCTCTGGCTTTCTGATTAACAAATTGAAAGGTTAAAAACGAAGGAAGAGATAAAGGAAGAAAAGGGCAGTAGCATGTCAAGCAGGAGAATCAGATTCGACATAAAGCATCTTCAAGGCAACTCATCAGTAGCACTCAGCCGATGATCATGAGAGAGAGAGAGAGAGAGAGAGAGAGAGAGAGACAGAGGGGTAATCACAAAAGAATCATCAGAAAAACACTAAGAAAAAGGGGGTAAAAGGCTGTATAAGATACTGTTATATATAATCACATTGCAAGACACTGAAAAGCAAAAATATGGTCATCTCATTTGATTGCTAAAAGTGAAAAGTAAAGGGCACATTTGATAACTATTTCAATTTTAGTTTTTCATTTTCATTTTTTGTGCTAGAGTATAGAGGAAAAAGAGGGGAAACGGAATTGAGAATGAGAGTAGAGATGGGATTGAGGGGGAATATGAGAGGGAATGATGGGAGGGAGGAGTAACAAAAGTGAAAACAAAACTAAAAACTGAAATCTATTTGAAATTGTTTTCAGTTTTGTTACTCCTCCCTCCCATCCTCCCCTCTCATGCTCTCTCTCAATCTCATCCTCATTCTCATTCTCACTCTCATTTTCTTCTATACTCTAGTACAAAAAATGAAAACTAAAAACTAAAATTCACTCTCATTTTCTTCTATACTCTAGTACAAAAAATGAAAACTAAAAACTAAAATTGAAATGGTTATCAAATGTGGAAAATAAATCACTTCAGCTCACATTAGAAAACCATATATGGATCCTTTAGGTTGACCAGTAGACCATGTACAGACCCACCAAGTGGACCATCCATAGTTCCAATAAGTGGGCCAGAAGCATATATTCTTAACCATGAAGTAATGCAGGCATTGGTTCCTGGTAATTTTTATGCAACAAGGGGCAGATAACTTACTTCCACCAAAAGTTCTAAAATGGAATTTTTTTTTCTTTCAAGGAATTGAAAATCAAGAAAAGCAGTCAATTGCATAGCAGAGTCTCCAGAACTAGGTCATAAGAGAACCAGAGCATAATTAAGGCTAAACATTGATCACTGAGAATATGTAAAGAAAGGGATAGGTTGAATAAGTTGAGAGTTTAGATTATAAAGAGAACACAATATTTGGTGTCTTCAAAAAGACATTCTTTCGTCCTGTAGGTGAATGAATAATCTTTTCAGAAAACACAAAAAGAGATTCATATAATATAAGGGCAAAGTAAATCTCCAAGAAAACAAAAAGAAAGATGAGCACAAAGCACTATTTGCCTAGAAACTCAAGTACACTATAATTAAAAATGCTGATCAAAACCCAAAAACCATCATGCACCTGTAAAAGCAACACAAATGAGCTAAATGAATCTAAAGGCCAGCTATTTCAAATATCACCATTGCCAAAACCAACATTTCTTCATTCAACAAGAACAGCATACAACAACCAGTTCCATCAACAACAGCCTCAGAAGCTTAAGTTGCAAGCTAAATTCAACTTCATTGGAACAACTAAAATTATAAACCCCCAAAAGAAAAAAAGAAGAGAGAATACATTACTGTACAAGCACAAGGCGGTTACCCATACCTCCTCTGAAACCCCCATTCCCATTCCCATCTCCATCACCCCAAACCTCTCCACCGCCATTTCCACCGTCCGAATTCTCGATCCCCTCGGCCTTCGGCACCGTCACGATAAGCTCACCGTCGACGAAAACCGCGCTTGCCAACTCGGGCCGAGTCGACTCGGGCAGCCGAAACCTCCACATGTCGAGCTCAAGCTCGTCCAATGTCAATTCCGCCGACCCACTTTCCCGAACCACGATTTTGGTCACACCCGGATAGATTTCGACGGTGTGGGCCCTCACGCCGTCGCCGATGTTATCTGTTTCGGCGATAAATCGGAAGCAATCGGGGTTCTCCTCGACCAAAACTTCGGCGTCGGAGCGAAATGGGAGCTCCAGGACCCGACTGAAGACATGGGGCAGGCGGCGGAGCTTCTTGTGGGTCAGACCCAGAAGGGCCTCAGCTTCAGAAAGAGGGTTGCTTGAGTTGTATTGGATGGTGATGTTGCGCTTCTTGGGCATCGGGTGGACCTTCATGGCTTGGGCTTCAATGGCTATGGTGGAGGTGCAGAAGAAAGAGAGAGATTGAGACAAGATTAATAGAAATATGAAAGATGCCCTTGTGAAAAGGGTAGGCCAATCTTGGGTGGGAATCAAAATCCTGATTGGGTGGTTGTTTTTATGAAAAGAAAGAATCATAAAGGATTGGTGGGAAAATTTGTTTTGGGTATATATGGGTTTTGTTTGCTTTGCTTTGCTTGTTTTTGGATGAGACTTGATGGGAAACTAAAAGAAATACCCTAACCCTAGAAATTGGGTTGAAATGAATTGAATTGAATTGAATTTCCCTATCTGTGTGTGTTTGTGTGAGAGATTGAGTCCCCAGAAAAGGCAAAATTCTTTTTAATGTAGAATTTGGAGGAGTGGAAAAGAAATGTTGTTGCCAAGGCAAAGGCAAATGCTGTCAATGAAATCTCCCTTTCTGGGTATGCATAGTGGCTAGAGCCCATAGGCAGAATCACTTTGAATTGAATTGAATTGAATTTCCCTATCTGTGTGTGTTTGTGTGAGAGATTGAGTCCCCAGAAAAGGCAAAATTCTTTTTAATGTATAATTTGGAGGAGTGGAAAAGAAATGTTGTTGCCAAGGCAAAGGCAAATGCTGTCAATGAAATCTCCCTTTCTGGGTATGCATAGTGGCTAGAGCCCATAGGCAGAATCACTGCAAATATATAAAAAAAAGAAGAAGGAGGGTTGGGGTTTCATCCTTGGACTTTGCCAAAATTACAATTCTGGCCATTTTATTTTTTGGACCATCCAAAATCTTATAGCTTTTTTTGTACCAAAGAAATCTTACCGGGGTCTGATTTTATTAGTTTTTAAATACAAAGGTTGGGTTTTGTTGTCAGTATATGCATGGTTAATGGGTAATGGGTCATGGCCTCATGGATGTGGAAGCAGCAAAGTGGGTTAAGGCAATGAATGAATGACAGACCTTTTATTTTTGGCAAATACTGTACCAGTTCTTTGTTTTTTTTGAGAAGATTTTTTCTATTGAGATAAGCGATAATATATTAAACTCACATACACTATTAAGATGTTAAGACTCGAACTCAAAATATTTTTTTTTGAAAAGAAATTATTCCAAACCATTACACTAGTGGGTTCTTTGTCTGTATCAGTTCATATGACTACGGATTTTAATTTTATTTCTGGTTTAATGGGAGAAGAGAAAATGGCTCTGTAAAAGAGCAAAAGATAGAACTCTGAAAAAATTGATGACTCTTCTTAAGAGCAAATTCAAGAGCATCTTTTATTCTTAGTGTATATTTCATATTTTGATTTAAAGAAGGAGTGCTGATAGAAAAGAGAGGAAATAAGGAAAAAAAGAAAAGAAAGATATTATTTCAATAATATTATAGAATAATATATACGTACATAGGATGTACAGCTTCTTAGAAATTGTAAGTCACTTTCTAAGCTCTAGAGTCGTGACACAACTTAGGGTGTCGTTTTGAATATTTTGGCTTTTTATGTGGAGCTCTGTGAACACGTTTTGGGATGTCTTATGACATTTAGATATTATTGTGATAAATATTTTTGTTTTTTTCCTTTTAAGTAAGGTTTATTTAGTTTATTTTTATTTTTTATATATTGTTATAAAAATATTAATATAAAAATGGTTTATTTTCTATAGTAATAAAAATCATGAACCTTGGTCTTACAAGAACAACAATTAATATAATTAAAAATAAGAAAAATCATGACCTTTAAAAACAAATTATTCCATATATCTTGCAATTTCATTATTTGTAATAAGGGGGTGAAAATGGGGGCACATGCCTTCTGAAATATTGAGGGGCACCTTCTTAGAAATTACAGTCCACCTTCATCCTTGTCTAATAAGTCCTTTCGAATTGTAGGACACGGTAATTAGAGAAAAGAAATTGCACTTTTGTCACAGAAAACCCTAAACCAAAGCAAAGAAAGATTTATGTTGCTACTTACATAATTAATTAATTGATAATTTATAGTTTGAAAATTGGCTTTTTACAAAATTTCAAATGGATCAACTCAGCATGTTTTAAAATTAAAAATAAAAAGATCATAGAAAATATAAGAAAATTTGAGACATAACATACATTTTTTATGTAATTATATAAAAACACGGCATGAAGGTTCCTTGATCCTTCC